TCTCTCTTCTTGTTTCTTTTCTTTCTCCTCCCACCACTGCTGTAGTCTCTCTTCTTGTTTCTTTTCTTTCTCCTCCAACCACTGCTGTAGTCTCTCTTCATGTTTATTTTCTCGTTCTTCTTGTTTCCTTTCTTTTCCTCCAACAACTGCAGTAATCTCTCCTCTTGTTTCTTTTCTCGTTCTTCTTGTTTCTTTTCTTTTTCCTCCAACAACTGCTGTAATCTCTCTTATTTATTTTGCTGTTCGAGTTGCCACTGTTGCAGGTTTTCTTACCACTACTGTTGTCTCTCTTCTTGTTTCTTTTCTTTTACCTCCAACAACTGCTGTAATCTCTCTTCTTGTTTCTTTTCTTTTTCCTCCAACAACTGCTGGAATCTCTCTTGTTTATTTTGCTGTTCGAGTTGCCACTGTTGCAGGTTTTCTTGCTACTGCTGTTGTCTCTCTTCTTGTTTCTTTTCTCGTTTTTCTTGTTTCTTTTGCTGTTCTTGTATTGCTTGCCATCAAATCTGCTAAGCTGTAGTTTCATTTGCCACTTCTCGTTTCCATCTCTTTTTCTTCTTTTCCGTCCTACTCTCTGACACCAATTTGTTACGTATCTGCTCGTTTGTTAATTTCCGGTATAAATTCTTTCCCAGAAACTTCAGCAATACAAGTCCTTTCTTGATAAACCCAGTTTATTCTTCCTCGATACAAACTTTGTTATGCACAGAATTTCCATAGTCACTTTAAACTTAACAACCTTTATAACACACGCTATAAATCACAGCGATTCACACACTTTACTTACGGTGCCTACTGTTCGCTTGACTCAATTATCTATCTTCTCATTTCTGCTGGTTTTTCTCGCCAGGCTTATATACTAAAAAAAGGGTGTCTCGATCAGACTAATGTTACAGGGCAAATTCATGATCCCTCGAGAAACTCCAGCGTGCATGCTCTCAGCGTCGCGTGACTTCCACTGTCGTAACAATATTATGAAGTATTTAGATCTATGTTTGCTCTCGCGCATGTTAAATTACTTTGCACAAGTGGGTTGATTTTGTTTAGGTAAGTGTATTACAGTTTGTAACGTAGGTCTACAATAAGTTACGACAATGTACTAGCGTCTAAGATTGTATAGACATTAGAGGAGGAAATAAAGTAATGTTGCGTCATCGAGATCATGTGATTCTCACGCTCTCTA